ACACAAATAAACCGCCACTGCCAGCTCTCTGCAGACGCACGACTCCACATGCCAGCACCATCTCTGCTCCCAGCCAAGCCTGTTCCTCTGCTGTGGAGGGTGAAGAAGATCACCCAGACCGGGCAAAGCCTGTCTGGCTCCGGTGGTGCTCGGAGGGTGGTGGGGTGCAGCTCCAAAAGCAGACAGCGGGATGAGATGTACAGCAGCCGCAGCCAAGAGACGGCATGGGCCATGCACGAGCAACGTGAGCCCCTGCTTTGCTGCTGATTCTGGCTAGAAAACCTAATTTCTCTGCATCCTTTTGTAGGAAGAGAATAATGAGCCATCATCTCGGTTGGTGGGACCACAGAGGGCTCCAGCTGCTCAGCATGCAGAGTTAGCAGCAGAAGCACTCAAACGTGAGGCCTTGCTTTGCTGCAGCAACAGCCTTTCCAGCCTACAATAAACAACCATCATCACACACCATCTTCTCTGGAGAGGGAGGCTTTTCTTCTCTCTTCCTTTCGCAGCTGACAGTCGCATGGGATAACACAAGAAAAATCTGGAGGCCCCTCCAAATCGTTTTTAACTGTTTCCAGGAGGGCTGTCTCTTGCTTCCAGACCTCCTGCACGTCCCTCTTGCCTTGCCTAGCCTTCCGCACAGCCAGCTGTGCCAAACAATTGACTCTCAAGCCCGAGGAGGCCTTCTCAGTTGAAGGTCTCTTCCTCCCCAGTAGTGCCTGCTTTGGGGACTGGTGACTCTTCCAAGGTAGGATGTGAATGCTGCCCATCCACAAACATGGTTAGGCTCATCAAACTCCTAAAATTACAGGCTACTCACTCAGGGGTGGAATAACTGAAAGGTCAACCACCTCCAGCAAGCTGAAAAAGCAGATGATTTGTATGTGGACAGCTCGGGTCCTCTGTACATTTGCTTTGAGGTATCCCAGGCTCCTGGTGTTTTTATTCCTACAGCAAGGCCAAGAAGCTCTCATCACGGAGAAGGAATTCACATCTCCAGAGGCGAAGGAGGCTGAAGAAATGTGGCTGAGCTTTGTGATGAGAGGGAAAGATGGAACTATATGGATGGAAACAAACCTTTCCAATCCAGAGGCCTGATCCAGAGGCTCCCCCAGGCACTCAGCAGGTTAAACACGTGCGTTTCTATATACGCACACGTGCACAGAAGATGGGCAGTGCCTGGCTGCGCCCAGTTCATGCACACGACATGTTTCCTTTCACCTTCCACCTCCTGTAACGCTGCTGAGTGTTTTATAGAAGGATTTACCTGGATGACCAGAGGCTTCCCAGCACCCAGCTGCCCATCAGCACAGGTCTCTTGCAGAACAAAGCAAAAATGCTTCAGGCTGAAACCATTTTCTTCCCTTACTGCTCGTTATTGCTCAGCAGGGGAGTTTCATCCCCTCTGTATGCCCACCTGCTCTCTTCCCTATCCCATCTCCCATTGGCAGTGTGCTTTCGTTGTCCTTCATCTCACCTGGGGGGATGCAGCACTGAACTTATGTGGAGCAAGAGGCTTTTTACTGTGGCTCTATCCTGGGCACTCGCACTGGCACTGAAGCAATTAACACTGGCCAGGATTTGGGGGCCGACAGCATATATTTTTTAAGGGAATTTTTCTTTATTAAATTTTCATTCCAAAACCCATTTCACCTCATCCATCTGACATCAACCCACCCTATTCTTGCTCCAAGAGCAGCGGGGTCACTGCACAGAAACTCAGCGGCGCTGCTTGTCCCATCACCCAGCCCCGGTCACAGCCAGATGGTTACTCATCTTGGAGCTCGACCTCCCTTTGTAATTGGACCTGGCTGAGTTCAAGATGTTCCATTGATCTCCACTTCCCTCCTGAAGTGCCAGTGGGACTAACAGAAGCGTCCCAGGATTTTGAAATAGTTACCTCAATAACCACAGAGAAGGAGCCAGCCCGGCACTGCCTGCTCCGTCCAGAGGCGCGGGGTTCCCAGGGTGTTTGCTAACCCAGCACTGCCCTTCTTGCACCAAAACGTCCATGTGCAGCAGAGGAGAAATGGCAGGGGAGGGGGGAAAAAAAAAAAAATGTGAACATGATCGGCATTGCACCTGTCTTTGTTGAGTCAAAACCCAAACTGATGGGTACCTACAGTGCCGCAGGCGCGGTGGTGGGAGCCCCAGGTGCCCAAGCAGCCCATGCCGACAGGGGATGCGAGGCAGGGGTGAAAGCACTGCAGAGCTGGAAGATCATTCTGCATTTTTAGCAGCTGTTTTGTGATGGTGGTTTTAGCCAAGCTGCGAGGTTCAGGCTGCTCCGCTGTGGACTGTTTTTATTAGACCTGGCACTAGATTTATGCTGTTCACATTGGTTTTATGAAGTATCCTTCTAGTGCAGAGCTGTATAAAAATAGGTTAGCATGAGAAACTCCTTATTCTTAAAAAAAAAAAAAAAAAAAGAAAAAAACCCCAAATAAATCACAGTTCTTCCCTCTGCTATCCCTGATCACAGAGTCAATCCCACAGACCAGTTACTCTTACCTGCTCCATTCAGCAGACTGGACTACCAGTTTTGTTTAATTACCCCAGATTTTGCCCCAGATATTCATACCACCACCAGTATGACCTAGGGAGGAATTCCCAGGAACATGAGGACAGAACTAGCACCCAAGTACCAAGTGGTCATCAGGCGTGCCCCGCGTGGTTCCCACCCACGGACACCGAGGCACAGAGTTCAAATCACACCTTGAAGCACCTTTACCTACGTCTATTGCCATTTTCTGGGAGGAATATTATATATTCCTTACACTTAAAGCAATAAACCATCTGTGTGTACACATGAACACTTCATGCAACAGTGACATATCACAGGAATTAATTGTATTTTTAAGTATAGTCTGTTCTGTCAAAGATGTACCTGGATATATTCTCTCTAAAGCTTAATAAAAATTTATACAGACTTCTTAAAACACCATATTTCCACGACAAGATTAATCAAAGCAACCTTTTTGTTGCAATCTATTCTGCTGCAACCCGAGCCAACAGAGTAAGCCCCCATGAGGAAAGGTCATCTTTTTAAGACAGATTTTCATTTTTTTGATAAATAAAATGCTACTTTTTTAATTTAGCAACGTGATTGTTATAAACCAGCTCCAACAGCAGTCAGATGGCAGTTCAAAATGAGGTCTCGGAAAGTGAAGATGCACTTTGAGAGGACTACATTCACCCAGTATTGTACTACTTCAAAATCAAACCCTGCCTCTGAAAATGTCAAAGGCAACTATTCACGAGCAAACACCGTATGGTGTATTTGTCCTCTTCAATTCCTCTTAAAATCATTGTGAACCACCCCCCCTGAGCATTTCAGAGCTGAAATGACTGCATGCCACATTATACAGTATTCTCACCACAAGCTCTCCAAAATGTTAGATGGTGGCATGAAATTGTTCAAATATGTGTTTGTCTTGGGTTAAAAGGGACAGAAATAACCATTAGCAGTCCGGTCTCCAATAGCTCCGCTTGTACTACTCATTGACACTAAAGCTGCAGTTTTACTCTGGGATCCAAGTGGGATTTGCATTGGAAACACTTCCCAGGATGTCCCTAAAATCATATTTAAAAGTAAGCTGAAGGTGTTTTTTTCATTACTGTAATGGTAAAGCTCCGAAGATCGGGTTAATGCAGCTCTGCGGTGGTGTAACACCTGCTGAATCACAACACGATCAAAAATAAACCGCAGTAAAAATAGTCACGTATTTGTGCCTGGGGATGAACAATCACCGAGCCAGCAACCGAACCACTGGAGGAATCATTTGGACATTTCAAGGTGTTTTTAAAAGCAGCTGAGCCGGCAGCTCCTCCTGGCCCCATTGGATTGCCAGTCCTAGCTTGTGGCCACGGGTGGCTGTAACGGAAGGACAGACCCACGCATGGAGGCCACCACAAGCAGCTCCCGCAGGTTCCGGGCGCGGGGATGCTGCTCTCTCTGCTCTTCTTCAAACAAAACCATGGAGAAGGCCGGCCACGACGGCTGGGACCCGCGAGAGCATTTACATACCTTGATCATGGGCTTGAACTCCAGCCTCTAAACTGAGGTCCTCCTCGGCTTGGAGAGAGACATCTGCAGTCCCTCTGCTCCCGCTGAAGCTCCCCGTGGTGTTATTGCGGGGCCTCTCCATGTCACCAAGCAGGACCACATTGCCCACTCCTGAGCTTTGGAGATCACAACGAGCAGCTTCTGCCCCTCCCGCTCAGCACGCCCATGCTGGCACCTCTAGGTCCAGGGCGTCCACCCATCCCAGTTGCCCAACACACCATCTGCATTATTAATGACAGCGGTGCTCCCTTTGTCTCTTTTGTAAAGAAGTAACATAGAATCACAGAATGGTTTGGGCTGGAAGGGACCTTCACAGATCACCCAGTGCCCCCCCCTGCCCCGGGCAGGGCCCCCTTCCCCCAGCCCAGGGGGCTCCCAGCCCCGTCCAACCTGGCCTTGAACCCTTCCAGGGAGGGGGCACCCACAGCTGCTCTGGGCACCCTGGGCCAGCGCCTCACCCCCCAAACAGGGAGGAATTGCTGCCTTAGATCTCATCTAAATCTGCCCTCTGTCAGTTTAAGTACATTATCCCTTGTCCTGTCACTATATGCCCTTGTAAAAATTCCCTCTCTAGCTTTCTTTTAGAGCCCTTTTAGGTACTGGAAGGCTGCTAAAATATTTAGTGAAATACCTGATGGTCAACCTTGCACTGAAATGATTCTTCAAACAACCGCTAGAAGCAGCGGTTTGCAGAAGTCACCGTGTTGGTGACGAGGTCTAAATTCCCTCCCCGTGGCCCCAAGCACTCAGATGGTCTGCACCAGCCAAAGCAAAGCTGGGAGAAAAGCCACCAAACACCAAACGCAAATATTCATTCAGTGCACACCCTAATTCAGGTGTTCATGATCATTTGCAGAAGAAACCTAGACAGGAGTATTGGAAGAAACATTTCAAGTCTCATAATAAGCAAAAGAATTATACACTGCCAAGCAAGGAAGGCTCAGGCCTTAAATTTTATTGTTGTAGATGAGAAATAAGTCTGGCTTGTGATTGGCTGAGCACACTCAGGTAACAAATTAAAGCCACCTCTCTTAATCCCCTTGCTTTCCCAGCACGTGACGCCGAAGTTTTGGAACAACATCAAATAACAGCTCACGAACCGAGATGGAAAACCTGAAGCGGTGGCAATACACTCTGTTTGCTTCTTGTGAAGTTAGTATTACACTTTAACTGTGGTCCCTCAAACTCCCACTCCTCCTTAGAAGACAATATTCAAAAGCAAAATTATTACTTTCATGGCCATAGCAAATAGTCCTGCATGCCTCTGGTGAAAATGTTCAGCCCGAAAATAACAACCCACGGGAAATGGCTTCTGGTTTCAGAGGATGTGGCGACTGATGTCCGCCGAGGAAAATGCTGGCATGGTTTGATCGCCGCTGATTTCACATGTCAGCACACCTCCGTGTTTAACCCAACGGTAGCAAATAGTTGCTGAATCCGTCAGAAAAAGAGTTTTAAACGTCAGATCTCACACTGCTGACCTTATCCCTCTGGTTTAAACTCCGCCAGCTCCCCAAATCCTCATTTTCAGCTGATGCCTCCGGCGGCAGTGTTTGTGCATCTCCCACCGGGGCGTTACCGGCTCCTCCGCCCCGGGGTGGCACCGGGCAGCGATGGGACACAACCGCGGGTGCTGCCGCCTCCCCCTCCCTCGGCACGCGCTCGCCGGAGCGCCGGCAATCCCAGCCCCATTCCCAGCCTTGGCCGGACGCTGCTGGGCACACGGCGAAGCCGAGCAGGACCACGGGTGCTGGGTCGTGGGCTGCCAGGGCCGGATTTGGATCCGCTCCGCTGCCGGGGCGGCCGCTTCTTCGGTGTGTGAATTGCTCCCACCACCGGGAAAAGTGCTGAGCTTAAGTTGAGGTATATCAATAATCTGCAACACACTGGAAACCAACCCCCTGTTTCTCTCGTCTCCCCCTTCTAAACCGCTGTGGGGGACATCCAAACACTCGAAGCAAAGAGCAGAGCCCAACAGCCTTGCCTTCCAATTGCCTTCTCCAACGGCCTTGCCTTCCAGATGCCTTCTCCACCCCTGCCCCAGGGCTTCCACCCCAACCCACCCATGCAGCCGGCAGCCTGTGCTGCTTATCAGCTGGAGTAACGGCGTTTCAGTCAGCCTAAGCAGAGATCTTCACAATAAGAACAAATTTTTGGGCTTGCCAATGCCTAGCACAAGCTCTCCTACAGCTAAACCCGTACCTGATCCCACCCAGAACAGAAACAAGGGTTAATACAGTAAATGCTGCTGTTAGTTATCACCCAAGCCCCACATGAGTTTTCTTCACATCTCAGGACATTTAGTGGATTGCTTGTTAAAAGGGTAGAAATAATTTGTACAGGAACAATAGTTAAATGCGGATCTTGGAGTTACTAAGTACAGTAGTTTCCCCTTTACAAATGAAAGTAGTGCTGCTGTGCTGGAGAGCACAGTGACACGATGGCAAGGAAAGCAAAGCCTGGCTTTTATGACACTATTTACAGATAAAAAACTGCCGAGTAGGATTAAATATAAGTATAGAACATTTCTTCCATATACAAACTCTTGTTAGCTGATTAATTATTAAGGTGCTCAGAAGTGTGGATGAAAACAGAAGTTACAGTAGATCAGTTGTGTTTGTGTCTATTTACAAACCACGCTCAGTTGCCTGCTGACACCAGCATCTTCCAAAGAAGCTGGAAGCAAAGTGGCCAGTTACGAATCTAATGCCACAGGAACTGTTGTTTTCCTTACAGCATCTTTGTCAGAAGGTAAAATAGGAGTACTTCCATTCCTTTTTTAATTAGCCAAGGTGGGTGCCCTTGCTGAGTCTGTGCAGCTGGTGGTGCCAGGCAGCATCACACTGTGAGACACCCTGTTTCTAGCTCTCGCCTCCCGTCCAGCCCGTACCACCACCACCAGTTGCTGGTCTGCTGGGCAGCTGCCTCAGGCAGGACTGGCAGCGCCAGGCTGTTACGCTGAAAATCATCGTGTGGGGCCTCCCGAGTGCTCGGATTGCTCAGACCTACCCCGTGCAACAGAAGGGAGAATATGTGCGAGAAACCAAACGAGGAGAATCTGCTTAGCACAAATTTTGTCTTCCAATCAGAAAAAAAAACAAAATTAAATCCCGAGTGGCCCATATCCTGTAGGTTGAATTCCTTCCCCGTTAACATTCTCGAAGAGTTATTTTCTGTCTGATGGCCAAACTCTACCTCTAGCTCCATTCTCTGCTGACTGATGGCTGACCACAGACACTGCCTGGCACCGCGTCTCTCTGTACCGCCTGTACTCACACGGGTGCCTCAGAGGAGCTCAGAGTTTGGGGTTTTGGGAACCCATCAAACCAGGAGGGTATCCGACCATAAGGAAAATTCTGATTTTGTCCTCATCATTTTAAGATGCTATAGAAAAAGAAAGGAAAAGAAGTTGATTTGACTTCTGTTTGTAAACTTACCATGTACTGTCACCTTTCCCTCGTACATTTAAGTTTCAAACAGGTTCCAGAGATTGCAAGGCAAGAGTGTTAAGGCAGTATAAGAAACTCAGTATTTCATTCTCACCTCTTGATTCCCTTAAAGGTATTTCTAAGGCGTCAAAAGGGGCATGTGGTTTGTGCTTGCCTTTTCAGAAAAAGGCATTCAGTATAGTGTAAAAAACAGATGCTCAATGACAGACAGAAGCCACTCGGCCCCGGGCAATGGCCACACCATCAGAGAGGAAGGGGGAGATACAGTGGGGTTTCCCAGGTGTGTGTTCCTCACCATCGCTCTTTCTGGTACACCTCTGCTTGTACAATCTCACCGGGGTGCTCAGGTATGCAGGCCCCGTTGATGTCATTAAGCTTGTTGTCTGGAAGATCCTCGGGTTTTGTGCAAAGTTTCAGTGCCCTGGAGATGAAGACGTCCAAGTCAAACTCAGGGTCTGTTTCACTGTTCACCTCCGTGGGTTCTTTGTGGAGATTGTGAGGAGAAGATGGCAGGCTCCGTTCCTGAATCTCTGGAAGAGAACTGGGACACTCAAGACCCACCTGCGTGCTCTTCACCCACTGAGCAATCTCCAGAAAGAGGTTGGATGGTTCTTCTTCCAGGGACAGCTCAGCTGTGGGTGCAATGGTTGCTCTTTTCCAGTGGGATAAATCTAAAATCAGCTTAGGCTCTGAGTAGTGATGAGGCTTATTGTCTCTCCACAGCAATTTGTCCAAGTAGGAGGGCGACCCCACTTTGTAATCACACGATTTCCCACAATCGGCATCAAATACTCGGTCCATGGATGAGTGGGAGAGCTCCAAGAACCTTTCCGAGCTGCTTTGTGAGTATTTCCGTGGATCGACTTGTGCTTCTTCAGCGATGGATTCAGACCCTGCCCGGGGATCCCGCTGAACCTCATCCATGTCATGGTATTTATCGTGTCTCCATTCCAAGTCGGAGGAGAGGCTTACGTGATACCTGCGAAAGACACGCTGCCATCAGACACGCAGACGATGGCTTTGTTAGAAACAGCAGTGCTCAAACAGATATATGCACGCTGCTGCTGCTGTTTTTACATTTTTCTTGCTAATATGCTGCTTACCTACAGACCGTTACATTCTAATTAATATTAGGGACCTTTTTCTTGTGTATTAAAAAAGGCAGGGGGATGAGTAATTTATCAAGAGTCAGACGGGACCAGTAGTGGGCATAAAAGCCCAACAACCAGACCAGCTGTCCCCTTCATTTAGCCCTTCATCATCTTCCCTCCACTTGGCTTTAAAACATGATTAACAATATCAATAATCAAACTCTCCCTCAGCCCACAGACAAGTACCCACAGTGTGAGCACTCCTAGTTTGTTGCCATAAAAATAGAAAAGATGGGCTTAGATCCCCACTGAGATTGGACATCACCAGTTTACTCTGACGTCGTGGACCACGAGCATCCCTGAGGGTCACCTTGCTAAGTAATAGCTTCTCAGGCCAGTCAAACTCCTTGATTGCAATTACCCGACAACACCCATTCTCAGCCACGGTTTTCGAAGTGACATCTAATTTACTGGTTCCTAACTGAGCTGCCTTTAAAAGATGCGTTATGCCTGGTACTGGGGCTCTGTGTCCTGGCAATGAAATGCTCTTTGGGTGTCCCACAACACAAAGGCAAAATCATTTCCCATCTCTAAAGCCCTCAGCTTGTGTTGCAAAATTTATGGCCCTATGGCAAATGTCCCCAGCTGGGTGCCAGGACCAACAGTCTAGGTCCCACCTCTTATGTTACACCAAGAAATATAGAAGCCAAGAGATAAAAGGGTGACAAAGTGACCTCCAGCAGCTGATTTGCTGTTTTGGGGACTGTAACTGGCAGGGATGCTGGAGCTGTGGGGATGCACTGAAGAGAGATATCCTGAGAAAAGCTCTCAGCTTTCCTCTTTATCTAATTTACCTGGTTGTTCCCCCCAGCCTCCACCCTGATACTTGTTCACGCAGGCAAAGAGGTTAGTAATAGTGAAGGCAAGGCATTTCTTTAGATTATTTTTAAAATGTTGGTGAAATACAGCGGATTAAGAAGGCGAGGGGATGTAATTGCTATGCAGAGAGGAACAATGCCACAGACATCCTCAGCCAGCTCACCCTGCTCAGCTGGAAGGAGCTCTATAGAAAAGTGAACCTACTTAATTCTTAGCTGCTTATTTTGTTCTACCTGCTCCAGTACTGGGACTGGTCTTGTAACTGGGGTAATCGGCTAGGACATGAGAGATCTCAGCTCAAGGCCTTGATCTGCTCTAAACCTTCTGTAGAATTTTGAGCAAACCATTTAAAAGTCAACACAATTAAGGATTTTTTGAAAGACCCCAGATCTGTGGCCTCTGCTGCTTATGCACCCTGGAAAGTGATAAATAGAGAGCTCCAAATCAGGCCTGGTCCCCAAAAAGTGCAAAAATTACATTGTTTTATAGCTTATATTATAGGGACAGAGGACAGCGGGAAGAACCGTAGCGTCACTTAAACAGATGTAACCCAAATAAAGACACATAGGCTGTGAACCAAACCAAGAGCAGAAAGATATTTGGTGACTGGAACATGCAGACTCAGCATCTACTCCCTGTGGAAATCAATGATGAACCCCTTGTTGGCTTCAGCCAGGTGCCAGCCTGGGCAAGAATTACAATATGGTATAAAAAAGGAAAATCAGGTGTCTTTCCGGAACGTGCCTGAACCCAATCACAAGCAGGTCAGAGGCTCACTAGCCAAGCTCTGCCTAAAGAATCTAAAGTATTATCTGGCCTCTGGTCCAGCCTTCGGTACCATACCTGTCCCAGTTAGACATCTGGCTCTGGTTGGCTTCCATCAGTAAAACATCATCAATCTCATCCTCGATCCGGAACGGATGCTGAGACACTGGCTCATCCTCAGGGCAGGAATACGGGCTCATGTAAGGATGCTGCAGACCCATCTCAGCCGTTAATCGATCCATAGGGTTAAATGTCAGTATCTTCTCCAGAAAATCAATAGCTGTGAAGCAGAGAGAAACAAGCTCATTAGTTCCTCAAAAGCAATACCAGCTTCCTTTCCAGGACGAGCCTGGAGAATCCCCTACAACAAAGCCCCTTGAAGTAAGGAAGGAATTAAAGGTCACATCCTGTGTGCATCTAAAACAGGCACTTGTGTCCTTGCTGCATCCATCTTACTCCCCACGGGAGCTGTGTGCTTGCAGTGGAGCAACCTTGCAGCCTGCAGGTGTCAGAAATGACTGTGAGAGCATCACCCCTCCACAGGACAGCATACACATACTCTACCCAGTGCCGTGATCCCGGGCTGGAACGCTAAGCTCATGCCCCAAAAAGACCTTGGGACGGTGTCGGGATTTGATTCCGTGCTCTCAGATCCATCTGACAAGCACGCTGGGCTTCAGACAACTGATTTCACATTCTTTATGTGCAACTAAGCAGGATTAGATTTGAAGTGCAGTTTTTAAAAGTGTTCGGCATGACCAACGCTATGAAATTATTTTACCCATTAATATTTAAAGAATTTCGAGTGCATAAAATTATTTTAGAAAAACTGTGGAGCATGAACACTTTCTACAATGATGAAGGAGGAAATTAAGTGCAAATAAAGTGACTAGAATTAAATTTATATGTAGAGGGATTGTTGTGATTTCTTTGATGATTCTTTTTACCAAGGTTATGTGAAAAGATCAAAGCCTGTCATTAAAGACGTTGCTTATTCAGTTGATTCTTGGTGCATGGAAGAGTCCCTTAGGGCTCAGGTAAGACAAATAGGAATATGCCTTTCTTCAGTTACAATTTTTGCATTGTACCTTCAGAAACGTCCCCATCAAAGATGTAATTGTGTGAATGGGACAGTTTATTTAGGGACAAAATCACTCAGCAGAAAGGGCGGGCCGTACCTATTGCTTCAGGGCTTAAACATTAACCAATCTTGTCTCCCACGAGATTATTTCGTCGCTTGGACCAATTAAGTAGGAAGGAATCAATAGCTTCATCAGGTCACTGACTGCGGGCAAGAAGCGTGGAGGAACGATATATTCCGAGCCATATATTACAATATATTACGGGTCAGAGAGGCAGGAAAATGTCAATGAATTATGTGAGGGGCACGGGTGACCTTTCTTCCTGCAGTAACAACAGGGAATAAATCCATTCCCACTTGCCGGCGGCTGACGCCGTCCCTGGGTAACCCCAGCCGATGGGTATCGCACTGCCAAGCCCATAGAGCAGACGTCTTACAATGAAGAATTATGCCAGCAAACATAAAGCCAGGCTTGGTCCTGACGTCTTCCCAAAAGCAGGTGGCCAGGTCCACCAGCCTAGTTTAAGCTTTGGAAGGAGCTCAGAAGAGCTGACGTGCCCTGGTCCACACTGCTCAACTCTGGCTGCTGCCCTGCAAGCTCTCACTGCCCACAAAGCTGCTCCGGGCAAAAGCTCAGGTCCAAAAGCCTGTGGTTTGCAGCTCCCTTGCAACAACACGCTGCTGATTTTTTTTTTTTTTTTTTTTTAAGCTTTAGCCAAATGTGATATTTAGCTGATGTGATATCCAAGCGTTGCGGGCTGCTACATCCTGACACCAGTGATGCCCAGACCTTGGAGCACTTGGGCAACATTCCTGCCTGTAGCAACCACCTCGCGGAGTTCAGATATTTGTGAAGTAAAAGCACTTATTTTTTTTTTTTTCCTACTATACAATCGCGTTCATGCAAAAAGCGCGGCAAGAAAATAAACAGGGCTTGAAAATAACCCCTGGGCTGAACCCTCACAGCTCAAGAAGCAGCACAGGAAGGCAGGGATGCACCTTGAGAGTGTCTTGGAAGACTATTTCACCCTTTTTTTCTGTAGGAGCTACCTGAGAGAAAGCTACTGCATCACGAGCGCTGCCCTGCAGCCCACACCTTCCCCGGTGGGATGGCAGGCAGGACCTGAGCGGGGGACAATCGTGGGGATACGTGAGCTGCATGTGGGACCGTGAGCTGCAAACCCCCAGATATCTGAATCCTGTTCACCAGCGTTCATGCACTTGGCCTTAGAGGACGATTCCTGTGATCCCTGGGGGAAACAGGTCTGGGAACTCGGCAGCTGGGGGAAGCCCCAGGAGGAAGATGCCTCCAAAGCCAGCGGGCACTACGGTACCTTCGCTGTCCACCTCGGGGAGCAGCTTGCGCAGCGGCTTCCTCACTTCCCAGGTGCTGTTGATGAAGGTGGGCATCACCTTGAGCAGCTCCTCTTTGTCCTCCTCGTGGATAACGGGGATCGTCTCCAGAATAAGTTGCATCTGTTCCAGCTCGTGACCCCCTAAACGGGCAGAAAACAGGCAGTGAGATGAGACCCAGAAGTTAAACCGGGGGCGGGGTGGGGGTGGGATTATCAGCCACCCCTGTGAAATGAGCCACGTCACCGCAGTGCCGCGATCTCCCACCAGCCCCTCTGCGCTGACGCTTCCAGGCGTCAGCCACCGCTCTTTGCTCCAAGGAGAATGTCCTCACCACCTTCTTATGTCCCCGGGTCACTTCCCTGCCCCTGTGTTCCCACCCCGTCGCCTGCCTGAGAGCTCGCCTTCCGGTTCTCCCTCCACACAGCAGCACACGGAGTGCCTGCTCATGCACGGCTTCAGGGGAGATGCCTCCACCTGCACACACACGGGCTGTGCAGTCCCCAAAGCCCCCATCCCTCCCTCTCCCACTCATGTCAGTGGGGCTCCCAGCCACGTCACCCCATTTTAAGGGTGAAAAGAGTTAACTTAGATGATTTGCCCTCCTGGCGTATCACCCTGAGGCTGTCAGGCTGAGCAGAAACTACCCAGTCGAAATCGTGGAGGTGGGAGCTCTTACCCACGGGTGGGCTCCATACTGTGTGATGGAAGGAGATGAATATCTGCTCCAACGGCCACAAAACATGGCTGGGTTCATTCACAACCCCAACGATAACAAGAAGATCATGAACCCAGCTCCAGGGGTCCCAAAGCTTCAGCTTTAAATGAATGCAAGTGCTCAACCTCTGTGCTCTCCTGATGGGAAAGGCTGGGCGCCAAGCCAAGCGAGCTTGGTGGGCACCAAGTCAAGGATCTGGTGGTGATAATCCCAACAACCACTGTGGGCAATCATATATTTTTAATCCTTTTCCTTCGGGACATATTTATCCAGGCATCCCTAAGTCCCTGCTCAGGACTGGCTACCTGTCAGTGAGAAGCAGCAGTACCAGTGGAGCAGAGCCAACCGCCTCATTAATGAACGTTAATCTCATTCTTTGGCGCACTACTGGATGTGACCAAGAGCTCCACAGCTGATTTCCAGCTTCCCACATGTACAGAGAATCAGCCTAGCAGAAATACTATTGATTTTCTGTCTGCCAGAAGCGCCAGTTATAAATATTCTGTTATTAGAGGCAGGACTATCCATTAAGACAGCGAGCTGGCTGGGGCGGACAAACCAAATGGGGATTTTTGGGCTACCAAGTCCCTCCTGTCCAAGCCATGGATTTCAGGCTGCTTCACTGGGAAGCAGCACCCAGCTGATCCACAGCAAGAGAAGCGAACCTCATTTATGGCACAGCACTTCTGACCAGTCTGCAGGGAGGGTAGAGAAGCCAACTCGTAGGGGTTGGTGGAGACCATTGCTGGCTTCATGCCCTCAGGCAACCCTGTCCCTTTGGAGGTCCCTGGCACCTCACAGGGGCTATCCTCCCCAGCTCAAAGCTCCCTGTGGGTCTGCAGGAGGTTTCCAGACTCACATCCACGGAGCTGACCCCAAACACTCCTCCCCAGGCAAGAGAAGTTCCAAACACTGAGGCTGGGAAAGGGTCTCCATCCATCATGGCCTCATCTCTCCAACAAGGTTTGGTTCAATGCAGTCGTGGCCACTTTCACCCCAGATGGCAGAGCTCTGAGCCAGGACATGGCAGTGAACTTAGACAACCCCAAAGCAACACTGACATTAGCACAGCTGGTCACCATCACACCACACATTTGCTCAGAGCAAAGCCTCAGAAGACGATAGAGCAACGGGAAAAGAGAGAGAAACAATTGGACACAATCCTAATATCAATCCTGGGCAAATTACATTTTTCCTCATCTAGAGTTTTGCAGTATGGCTCCTGGAGAAACTAAAGATGACCATCAGGAAACGAACACCTTGTTAGTCAGGATAATTCCCAAATGATGATCAAAATTACAGGGTACTGAAAGTCACAAAGGCCTCCTGGGTGTTCTTCTCTCAGTGCAGCTCCAGCCACTGCTCACTGAAGGTGCCCAGCAGCCAAAAGGCACTGCGTTTCATCACACAAGGAAGCTGCTAATGCAACACTGGAAGCCCTCTCAGGAACCCAATTCTCCACCATTACTAGGGACCTTCCGGAGGCATTAATTCCTGAAAAGAAAAATGCAAACTACAGACAGAATAAACACAATGTGCTGTTGTTAGCCGATGACAGAACAAGGAGCTCTGTGTCATGTCTTGGAAAAGGGAGCCCTTCCTCAGGTCCTGGGTAAGCCTCCAAGCCCTGCTACCGAATATTCTGGGAGCAAACATCAATCCCACGGGAAAAGCGACCGTGCCACCTCCTAGCTCTTGGTCTCAGGCACAGCCCCACTGGTGAACCCCGGAGACATGTGTGAGGACAGGCAGCTTTTCTTTTTCTCCTACATTCTCTTGCTTCCACTGGAGATGCTTTTGGATACGTTTTGGCAGCGGAGGGTGGAAATGTCACTGGAGGGAGCTGTAGCCACTCAGCTATGGACACTCTTCTCTGGTTTCCACGCTGCTTGTGGTAGGGAGCTCTCTGAAGGTCTGTGAACCAGATTTTAGCTGTTGATGTGCTACGCTCCTGTGAGCCTTGGGTTAGCCCAATTTCTTGTGCCCTCCCGGGGCTCTGCCAAATCCAAAGCTGCTCCTGCCACCGCGGCTGTGGGGAGGGCAAAGGGCTGGGGGTCCCTCTCTGCTGGGTGTTCATTAACTTGTGCAGGAGAATGAAAGCAGGGAGTGACGTCTATTCTTAACAACTGATCGCCTTAATTTAACTGCATTAAATTAACCCAGATAGACTACTGAGTTAATTATATTGACTTATGCTAAGCATTCAAATTGTGCCGCTGACGCATACACAAACAACCATTTATCCAGTGTAAGGCAATTACTGGAGGTTTGCAACTTTGTGGGAACAACATCGCTGTTATTTCCCACGAGGTGTTTGCTGGTGACCAAGGACTCTCCCTCCGAAAGTCTTGTCCCACAGCAATGGGGGCTGCAGCTGGACAGGGGAAAATCCCTTCTCTCAGGCAAAGAGGCAAAAATAAAAGCAAAGATGAACCCATGCTGTCATACAAGTGTTTGCCAGTTTTAGCTACTCTGAGTGGTTGGATTTTATTCTCCTCCTCTTTGGACACCAGCAGATGGAAGGTGGTTTGTGGCGTGGGACACCACAAGCACTCTGCCCCACTGCCATTCTCCCACCCCAGCTCTTCTTTACTGACTAGTGTAGGAGGAGGCCAGGTAAATGGGGCACGGGGCCAGGACATTCCTGCAACAACTTTATAGATGATTTCTAAAGCAACCCGAAAGCAGTATGTACTTTGAGCTTTGGTTTTCATCCCCACCCATTAACTAACCCCTGCCAGCATCTGGGGGCTTATTAAGCAATCACACAGGGCTGGAAAGCAGAGAAGCAGGGATGTTTGCAGCACTTGTCCAGCTGAGCCCAGTCCATGATCTGCCAGCTCCCATCTCCCGGTCCCTAACTTGCTGTGGACTCTCAGGAACCAACCTGCAGAGCAGGCTCCTGTACGGCGGCTCTGGGGCATCTCGCCTGGGCAGCTGGGACAGAACTGATCTCACCTGCAGCCACGTGCAACACCAGCACGGGCACTTCGGTTTGTCTTCCAGATGCTCTTTATGAGCAGTAGTGGAAAAATACATATTTCTAAGGCACAATCCCAGCTGAAGGCAGACAGATAACAGAGGCCAGATGAATCACACCCTGGAGCTGCCTCTGCCTCTGCCTTGAGCATGAAAGAATCATCAGGGACCAGCTGGGACACCGAGGGAGTAGATGGCTGGTGACAGCCAATGTAGCTTCTACCTCTGGGATCCACAGACAGCATCAAAACCAAGCTGGGGCTGAGAGAGGGGTCAAGCAAAGTTTAGAAAACTGGGATAAACACGAGTGCTTGGGTGCTCTGATAGGGATGGCCAGAGAAGAACCTGGACAGCCAGTCTTGTTTTGCTGTTTGACATGGGGGGCAAGGATAGGAAAAGAGAGATTGTCCAAGAGGATTGTCCCTGGGGCTCCAGAGACACCCAGTTTAGTACGAGGCGGTGCGTTGCTCTGATCTGGTGCAAATCCTGCAAGACCAGGACCCTGCCATCTGTGCTGGGGTTTGCTTCTGCTGCTCTGGTTTCCTTGGGGTTAGTTTGGGTCCGGTGCCCTGGAAAGGCATCGTCCAGTTTGCTTCCATCCAAAAAGCTTGGAGACTCTCCCACGGTGCAAACCACAGCTTGGCAAGGGGAGGCAGCTGGCAGAGATGCCTGAGGAGCTCACTCACGGGCAGCATCTCCCAGCAAGACCAGAACATGCCCCGCATCCACAGGGACGAGCAGCACGTGGAGACGTCCCTACTCCTTGAATATATCCTGAGGCAGCAGCAGGACCAGCCAGGTCTGATGCAGAATTTCCAGAGCTGAAATCCCTGGACTTGAAAATTTTGGGGAGGGGAGACCAAGGACGAGAGGAAGGAAGGAAAGGGAGGCAACTTTAATGATCTTTTTGAAATGATACTGACTGCTTAATTTTCAGCTTTCACAAAAGAAATATGTAAGCTGCAAGTGGGAGTGGGGCGGGAGCAACAGAGCAGCTTCAATCAAGAACTGGCTGCAGAACTTTGCGGTGAACTGAAATATTTGCGAAGAAAATATCCTTCTCCATTATTAATGGGTCTAATTATTTATTTACACAACTCTGCGAACAGCTGCTCATGAAATGCGTTAAACCTTGTCATTCAAAACACTAATGGGGGATGGAGAGACAACCACGGAGGAGCACTGCTGCAGACCTTGGGCAGGGAGGCAGCTTGTTCAACAGGCAGGGAGTGGCTGCTTCAGTCCTGAATGAATAACTTCACGTCCCGGCTCAGAAAGAACAGCTTTGCTCCTGACAGTAGCGTTTTTGGAACTGTATTAAACAAGTATTTGCTGTTTAAATGTCCCAAGAACATCAGAGTTGAGCTTCAAATGCCGCACTGATAATTATGTGCTCCTTGCCAGTGCTTTTTTTGTTGTCTTCTCCTTGCACTGCACTTTTACAACTCCAATACATGCCTATAGGAAAATCCTGAACATGGCTGAAAACAGGTAGTGGTGTTCAAATGTCTCCCCTCAAAAAAAAAAAAGCAATACATTGAAGGCACCAATCACAATTCAAATCTACAGCATAGAGTACAAACCTCTTGGGACAGGGAACACATTATCTCCTGTCCTTATACTCCATCCTATGATATTTTTTTAGCATTCTTCCTCCCAACAAAAAGCTCTTATTTTCTGTTGGGAAACACAGAAACATAAAAAGGTTTTGTTGTCTCATCAGAATTGTTCTTTGTTTGGGGTTCTGCTTTTGCCAGCAGACCGTCCCTGCACGGCAAGGCTCGGCACGGCCACCATTGGCCCCAGCCAGCCTCAGGCACCCCACTGGCTGTCACCACACCCACATCACCACGTGTCCTTCACAGGCAAGCACAAGAGGGCTGAGTGAAAATCAAAACGGTAACTATTCTCCCACCCCAAGGGCTTGCCTGTCTCAGGGAAGTTTGCAGCAACCGAGGCACCCTCTAATAGCAGAGGCTGAGCAAGTGAAGTTTGTTCTGGAGACAGCTCTCACGTCTAATAACCAACCTGTCGCGATGCTTCATTGCCTTGGCTGGCAAGGAGAGGGGAATTCCCTTTGCCATGCTAAAAAGCCTCTGAATTGGGTAGCAAGGAAGAAGGGAAGGAGGAAAAAAATTAATCAATGGCAGCTAGAAACCTACCAGCGAAGAGCATCCTTCCTGTCAGCATCTCGGCCAGGATGCAGCCGGCTGCCCACATATCGATGGCTTTGGTGTAGTTGTTTGGCGAGAGGAGGAGGCGGGGGGAACGATACCATTTTGTTACTAAGCCTTCGGAAAGGTAACCCTGAAAAAAACGAGACAGAGAGACATCAGCAACCTTGAAAGAGAGCTCCTCTGCTCCTCCCCGGTCAGCCCTCATTGCTCGCCACGGCCTCACCATCGGATGCTGCAGAGGAACCTGCCCAGCACGCCTGTGCTGCATCGATGGCAGGCTGCGGTGGTGTATCTTGCAGGAAGCAAAGAGGTGAGGCATACACCCCTGGAAACAGAGATGCTTCGGTGCTCCAGGAGGCAAAGCACTTGCTGCACCCCAAAAACTTATTTTCTGTTTGTTACCATGCTATTGAAGCATCTTCTGCAAAGGACAGATGGCTTTAATAACACAGATTTGCAGATCACACCTGCCACAGTTGTATCAGGTCACTGTTAGAGGACTTAGATGTATTATACAAATCCCAATGTGACAATCTGAGGCATTTTGGAAGTTGAGCGCATTATTTAAGTACTTTGCTGGGTCCCAGCTATAACTAGCAGTCTGTGAAGGAAGCCTTTCCCAGCTCAGTACTCCAAGCACAGTGCTTAGATTTCCAAACGTCACCTGTTTGCAATGTTCTGCCGATTCCATCTCTCGTTACTCCTGTATCTATAGTCCCTCCATAGCTACCTGAACCGCTGGTAACAGCAAGCTACGTACCGCTGAATTCCCACGGATCCAACTCCCAGCACTGGCGCTGAAAATGAATTTTTAAAGGGCAGGAGCTCCCAGGAGTGCCCATGCAAGAGCAGCTGCTCGTGGGCCAGCCCAGTGAGTGCCGGGGGGACACAGGACCGGAGCAGAGGTGGCACAGGGCTCCCACACGGGCAGCACCCAGAGGCTGTGCTCAGCAGGATCCGGACTCGCACAGAAGCCAGGCAAGTTCTCCGCGCCCGCATCCTCGGGATGCTGCTGCAGTGAACCCTGCTTTGGTCTGGGGTGTGCGCTGGGAGCTGTGGATGAGCCCATGCAGCGTCGCGCAGAGGTGAGGTGTGGGATCTTGTCATAAAGAGGAGAACAAAGGGACGGGCAGAAAAACAGGTTTATGGGGGGGGAAAATCACAACCACTTGGAAGGAAAGTCTCCTGGACCTGTCTTAAAGCATCGCCGAGCAGGTAACACAGCCCTGCAAGGCAACTCCTGAAAAAAAAATGCCATGGGGTCAGTGGGAAAGCCGTTTTGGGGATTAGCTAGCTGCTCCAGAGCTAGGAAACCCTGCTTGTTCTGCACTCAGCCTGGGTTTTGCCTAATAAACAGCCTCCCTCCCTCGCTGCCCAGCTGCTGGGGCCTCCGCGTCGCCCCCGGCAGCCGGGTGGCACGAGGCAGGTCCTCATCCTCCGTCCTACTTTGTTTGCAGTGAGGACGGTGGGTTTGGGATGCTTGACCTGGTTTTAAAGGAGATCCCTTCTGCAGCACCCCAGGGGACACAGGCCGAGCGCCGTCGCCTCTTTGGATCACAGCCCTCCCGTTCCTGAACTCACCCGGGAGATTTAACACAAGCGCCAAGCGCTCAGCAGCTCCCGCGGAAATCAAGGGGACGTGTTCAAGCCTGTAAATAATGCTGGCATCCTAAGGGATGTCCCAGTGCCCCCGGCTTCGCTCGCCCGCCAAGCTCCGGATGCGCGGGTGCCACGCTGGGGTTTGGACATGAATGGTTATTTCATCAGAACAACGTTGGAATATTCGCAAGTGGGATTTTCTGTACCAAACATAACGCGTTAACAGAATGAGGTAGATGGAAGCACAGCAGAAAAGACAAAATAAAATGAAATGATAAAGTTGAACTGCATTTAAGTGCCGTGAAACATTTGAAGGGTATCAAAATGCAGTAAGAGCATAAAACCTCGGTCCATCCTAACTGATACAGTTTCATAAACTGTTTTCAGTTGCAATATGATCACAATTCTCCCATCAGAAATGATTCAAGCAGGTCATTTTTTTTTTTTTTTTTAATTCTTCCTCTTAACTCCTTTTTCTCACTCCTTATGAAAAGGGCTGGAGCAAAGATGCTAACAGGGGCTCTTTACCGTTCTAGTTTCCCAAGGCACACGGGCCGGCGTCTCCGAGCATCCCCCCGCAGCGCAGACGTGCCGCCCACCCGCCTCTCCTCTCGCAGCACCGGGGGAATTTCTTTGAGCACCACTACAAGGTTTTTAATGCTCCTCTTCCCCCAATGCAGGCTTTTGTTCTGATTTACAAACGTTTATGTTGTCAAGTTTTTAATCATAAAGGGTTTGCTTTTAAAAGAACATTTTAATTTTGATTGTCCTAAGGTAAGTTGTAATGGAGACTGATTAGCTGAGAAGTTTCATTTAGTGCTGACATGTTTTTGCTAATGCAGCTGAATCAGAACTGGGACAAAAGCCCCCAGGTGTTATCTGATCAGACCACTGCTTTTCAGCTACTGCAATTGTTCCCAACAATGGAGACACTGATATTTACTGGAAAATCCTAACAAAATAAACTTTTGGGATAGTGACCCAGGGCAATCCATGGCTGGAGGAATTTCTTCCCTTTCCCAGCAAAGGAGTGCCACTCTCCTTACAGATTTAACGCTCGGTTCATACCTTTCTCCTCTCTAACAGCAAGATGGATTTGAGTTCTTGGGTGTGTGTGCACCATGCAAAATGTGTGAGCAATATATTGCAAATATCTGTACATTTCAACAAGCCAAACCTTTTCTTCCCCTGGCACCTCTTACGTATCAGAGAAAATTCCCTGCAAAAAATCACCGAATATTTTGGACACATCTTCAACTGCTCCTCTGCCACGTGAAGTTACTGGTGGTAACTAATTGGCAGCACTTCTCATTATGCTTCCTTTTTCTGCTACCCGCCACCACGTATTTGACTGTCATCTCCCTGTTTTCATCTGCTGAATAACCCAGACCATTGGGTCACCCACCACCAAGCCCAGGAAGGGCCCGTGGAGAGGAGCAACCTACAGCTTCTTTGCATCCCACCGACTCCTGGACCATACAGTTTGACACCCCCCTTGCTTCCCATGGCATTTCACTGCTGGGCTCGGGGATATCCCTCCGCTTTTTCAGGGGGGAAAATACTGAGAAGGGTTGATGGGTAGTTTGAAAATCAAGACTTTTCCATCCTCTGGTGGGAGCAGCTGGGGAGCATAGCACCCCAGTCCTGGGAGGCTTATGCAGCCCAACACTTACATCTGCTCTGCCTCCAGAGTGGCTAAAAACATGGGTTAGGTCTTTATTTTTATAAAATATGTAAGGTAAGTTCCTGTCTTACCACCTGGAGGAAGTAACCGCAATCTTGTGGACTATCAAGTCCTGTGAAGAAGTATCACGACAGCTTTGGGAGCTGGGGATGATGCAGTCGCCGGCACAGCAGCAGGACACTTGGGTAAGGATCCACCTAAACCTGGGTTAGGTACAGGCTCAGCTTTTACCCGTGGTGGCAAGATTTACATGAGGACAGCAGCTGTGCCAGTATGGAGAGCCCGAGCACTTCCAGCCATCACCTAGGCTTTAGCACAAGAATTTCACCACTTATGTAGATTCAGCCAAACAGAAAGACCAAGAGCAGAAGCCTATTAATTAGTTACAATTAAGATGGAACATATATCTACATGACAACATTCTGTGGATTCTATATGGCCCTTTCTGAACTGATGAAACACTGGAGTCTCTTTAAAAAGCAATATAACAGAGTTAATTTAAAAACAGAAATAGTTTCAAGTTCAAGGCTTGCTCTCAAGCCCTCCTATGCTGATTTTTTTTTTTTTCTTTTTGGCCATTTTCAAGTATAATTTTCCTGCTTCTCCTTTGCTCTTGTGGCATGTGCAGGAACAGCTCAGGCAGTCTATAAAGGTGATAAATTCATTACAGGTAGGATAAGCATCAAGTCGTATCAAACAGCAGAGCAAGGAAACTGAAAAGCAAAGAAAAATGAATGCGTTTTATAATCTGTACACAACACGGGGTTTTTGTGTGTTGCTTGCAACACCAGAAGGACAAACAATTTTGGGCAAGTCGTGCTGCATCCTGGTGTCACACTGGTTGTGGCATGCTGAACCACCTGTGTCCCAAGCGTGGCAATGGAAGCTGGGATGGCATGGCAGCACGTGGGGAGCGTGGCAAGACCCACCAGTGCTCCGAAACAACTGTCACCCAAGCCTGGGGCTCCTCCTGGGAGCTGGAGGGACCAAGCACAGGGCTCCTCAAGGTGGACACCAAAATTCAGGATCCCACCTACTGCAAATCAAGCCGCCCTGAATACCGCAGCCCAAAGCCTCTCCTGAGCGTATTTCACACCAAAATCCATCATTCTGCACTCAAAGAGCTGCAGAAGTGCAGACCAGGCACCCACAGACTGGAAATCCAGCAGGATGCAGACAGAGTCTGAGTATCCATGTCTCCATCCACAGCCACGAACAGGATTCCCGTTGCTGGACCCACAGGAGCAGGGTCTGCTCCCACTGCAGGCAGCTGCAGTGTCAAAACACAACAGCAACAACCCCAAGCTTTAGGAATAATCCTGGTGCAGCAGCAGGCTGGTGCCTCTTCGCAGCATGTTTTTTAACCTTTTTTTTCTAAAAAGCCAGGTAGAGCAGTTGTAGGAGAGGCTGGAAAAGACACTGAGTTTGCAGGAAACATAATAAAATAATAAAACTGCCACTGTGCGCGGCTCCAGCAACGTGATGTGTGTTCTCATCGTTTTGGGATGACACAGTGTACTTATTTCAGGACTGCAGACTATTACGTGCCTCATCAGAGGACAGAGAAGGAGCATAATCCAGTCGGGGTCACAGCAGGGGGGCTAGGCACTGGCTGCACGGGGCCCCAGGCAGTTGCCCCAGGGTTGAACATGGAGGGTGGTCCCCTCCAGGGCAAGTACAGAGCAACGTCCCACATCCTCATCTCCTTTGAAGACCTCCTCGTGATAACCCACCTGGGAATTTTATTATTCTACTGGATGAACTGGAAGCTATTATGTTTGCACTGATCAGCAAGTACAAAACAAAGGGAGGACTTCAAAGATTTGAAGATGTTCTGGAAACTATTG